TATGGTCCCCCAAGCACATCCAAGAGTAATTTCTGAGTGCAGGGCCTGGAGTAAACCCTGAGCATTGCCAGTGTGACCCAAAAAGAAAAAAAAGAAAAACAAAAACACTGAAATCTCTCCCAGGACTGCTGGGTGAGGCCAGAGGGCACTGAGCACCACGGGGTGGTCCTGGAGGCCCCCACACCATTAGGCCCAAGCTCTGGCACTGCCTGGCCAAGATGACTGGGTATCCCCTGACTAGTGCCCAGACGCCATGAACACTACTTAAGAGGCTAAGAGAAAATAAGCAAATACCAAAAGCATAATCCAGAATGGAAAAAAAAATTATATTGGTCTCTTGCAAGATCAGAAACTTCCATTCTTGGGCTGGAGAGAGTACAGCGGGTAAGGCGCTTGCCTTGTATGAGGTTGACCTGGCTTCAAACCTCAGCACCCCACAGATCCCCAGAGCCCGCCAGGAGTGATTCCTGAGTGCAGAGCCAGGAGTAAGTCCTGAGCATCGCTGGTTTGGCCCCCAAATCAGAAACCAAAACCAAATAAATAAGAACTACCATTCTGCAAGACATTTTAAAAGAATGAAAAGACAAGGTACAGTTTTGGAAAATAGATCTGCAGATAAACTCTCCAACAAATGGCTTCTACCCAGAATATCTATTGATGTTTTTTTTTGGGGGGGGGTCACACCCAGTGATGCAACAGGGGTTCCTCCTGGCTCTGCACTCAGGAATTACTTCTGGCGGTGCTTGGGGGACTACATGGGATGTTGGGAATCGAACCCAGGTTGGCCACGTGCAAGGCAAACGCCCTACCCGCTGTGCTATCGCTCCGGCCCCATCCAGAATATCTAAAGAAGTCTTATAATTCAGTAAGATCAACAACCAAAAATAATTGAAAAAAAATTTAGACAATTTTCCAAAGATAAAAGAATACCAAATAAGCACATGAAAATAATATTCAACATCATTGAACGACAAAAGTGTAACCCTTCCCCCTAAATAAAAAAAGCTTACAGTGAGCTTTCATAAGCTTCGAAAATAGTCAAATTTAGAAAGACTCATGGCATGGACCTCCTGCCTTCTGCTCGGACATCACTGGGAATAACCCGGAACAGAGGCAGAGTCCCTCCCTACCGACCAGGTCCCAGCAGCCTCCCCATCTGACCTGGGCCAGATACAGGGCCCACACCACAGTTCCTGAGCTACTCAAGGAATTCCATGGTGCTCAGCTGTTCTTCTGTCATTTGATGAAGACTGGCAGAGAAGAAAAGGAGCAACCTCAGCTTAATCCCTCAGGATCTTCTGGGGGTCTAACTCCAAAGCGTCACCCCCTGCACATCAAGAATGGGAGAAAAGCAGTGGGAAAAACCTGTAGAAAACTACCAAGCTCAATGAGTGCAACAGTATCACTAAAGGCATAAGCAACACCAGCAAATCCTCAGCCAGTGTCTTTGGTGTTGCTACGCTGCGGATGTTCAATGAGTTCAGAAAAACCCTAACACAGGGAGTCGGCAAGTAGGGTTGACTCGAAGGAAATTTTAAAGGGTGATGGGAAAACGCGCTATTGTTTGACATGGCCATTACTCAAAGCCATACATATATCAATACTCAGAACTACACTTCTAAGTTAATTTTATTATAAATAACTTAAACATAAGTAATCCTTACTTTTGTTCTGTTTTGGGAAAATGCTCAGGAATCATTCCTGGTGGTGCTTGGGACCATGTGGGATGCTGATGCTGGGGATCGAACCGGGGCTGGCTGTGTGCAAACCAAGTGCCTTTGTACTATCTTTCCAGTCCCAGAAACCCTTCCTTTTTTTTAAATTTTGATCTTGCCCTTTATTTATTTATTTATTAATTAAAAAATTTTTATTAGTGAAACACCATGGGGTACAGTTGTAGACTTACAAATTTTTGTGCTTGGGTTTCAGTTATATAATGATCGAGTACCCATTCCTCCACCAGTGCCCATTCTCCACCACCACTAATCCCAGTATCCCTCCCACCCCCCACCCCCTCCATCCCACCCTGCCTCTGTGGCAGGGCATTCCCTTTTGTTCTCTCTTTCCTTTTGGGTGCTGTGGTTTGCAAAAGAGGCATTGAGTGGCAATCATGTTCGGTCTAGAGTCTACTTTCAGCATGCTTCTCCCATCCTGGGAGGATCCTCCCAACACCCTTTATTTGATGCTCCCTTCTGTATCTGAGCTGCCTTTACCCCTAGAGTGTGTGGCTGGCCTCCAAGCCATGGAGTAAACCTCCTGGTATTTATCTTGGCTATTCTTGGGTGTTAGTCTCCTTATGTTCCCCAGATGAATGCAATCTTTCTATGTCTGTCCCTCTCTTTCTGACTCATTTCGCTTAGCATGATACTTTCCATGTAGTACCACTTGGATGCAAATTTCATGACTTCATCCTTTCTAACAGCTACATAGTACTCCATTGTGTAGATGTACCAAAGTTTCTTTAACCAGTCATCTGTTCTTGGGCACTCAGGTTTTTTCCAGATTCTGGCTATTGTAAACAGTGCTGCAATGAACAAACAAGTGCAGATGTCATTTCAACTATACTTTTTTGCCTCTCTGGGGCATACTCCCAGGAGTGGTATTGCTGGATCAAATGGGAGCTCAATTTCTAATTTTTTGAGAATCATCCATACTGTTTTCCGAAAGGGCTGAACCAGTTGGAATTCCCACCAGCAGTGAAGGAGGGTCCCTTTCTCGCCCCATCCGTGCCAACACTGGTTGCTTTTGTTGTTTTGGATGTGCGCCAGTCTCTGTGGTGTGAAATGATATCTCATTGTGGTTTTGATCTGCATCTCTCTGATGAGTAATGATGTGGAGCATTTTCTCATGTGCCTTTTAGCCATTCGGATTTCTTCTTTGAGAAAGTTTCTGTTCACTTCGTCGCTCCATTTTTTGATGGGGTTGGATGTTTTCTTCTTGTGGAGTTCAACCAGTACTTTATATATCCTTGATATCAACCCCCTGTTGAATGTGTATTCGGCGAATATCCTTTCCCATTCTGTAGACTGTCTTTGTATTTTGGTCACTGTTTCTTTTGAGGTGCAGAAGCTTCTTAGTTTAAGACAGTCCCATTTGTCTATCTCTGTTTTCACTTGCTCGGCCAGTGGCGTGGCATCTTTAAAGATACCATTAGCTTCAATGTCATGGAGGGTTTTGCCAACTTTATCTTCAATGTACCTTATGGTTTCTGGTCTGATGTTGAGGTCTTTAATCCATTTTGATCTTACTTTTGTACATGGTGTTAGGCAGAGTTCTGAGCCTATTTTTTTGCATGTAGCCGTCCAGTGATGCCAACACAATTTATTAAAGAGGCTTTCCTTGCTCCACTTCCTTCACTTTTCTTGCCCCCTTATCAAAGATTAGATGATCATATGCTTGGGGGGAGATGTCAGTATATTCAACCCTGTTTCATTGGTCTGCAGCTAGAAACCCTTACTTTTAATAAAATTACAATTCATCAATATAATTGTGTATCACATAATTACTGAACAAGTACACTATGACAGGATAATCTCTAACATTGTTTGGGGTAAAAAAACAAATTCTAGCAGGGGTGCATGTGAGGTCCTTCTGGCTTTAATCCCCAGCACCACCACACACACAATTAAAAATTAAAATCTGAAATACTAAGTGCAATGTTGCTTCATTTCTGGCACTACTGGCTGACTCTGGAGAAAGGATTAGAAATACGAGTGCATTGCCTCCACCACTCCCTACTCTGCACAACCTGTGTTTATTTAAGTTAATTAATTTCCTAATTTTATTATTTTTGGTTTGTGAGCTGTACCTGACAGTGCTTAGGGGCTATTTCTGGCTCACTGCTCAGGAGTGATCCCTGGCAGTGCTTGGGGGACCATTTATGGTGCTGGGGACTGGAACGGGGGTCAGCCACGTGCAGGGCGAGTGCCTTACCCCTGCACTATCTCTGAGGCTCCAAAAGTTTGTTTATAAACCAGAGGTTTACACAAGACCTTCTATCAGAAAGACTAAAGGAAACCGATGCACAGTTGAGTGCCGGGGATTGGGACTTGGAGGCCTGAGAAAACATGCGTGAGAACACGGAACCCGCCCACCCGCACACGTAAGGGGTGCACGGCAAGGATCCGGGACTGCCATCCCAAAGGCAGCCCCCAGACAATGAGCCCTCTATGTGAACCCAGCTCCGCCGCCAGCACGGCCCCCGGTCCTGCTGGGAGCTGAGCGTGGCCCGCTCGAGTTTGGGAGGAGAAAAGGCGCATTGAGAACCAGCTCCCTGGATCGACTTTGGGGCAAACTGTCTCTCAGCACCCCTCTGCAAGCACAGTGTACCCCAACCTCTGCTTCTTAGGAGACAAGCCACGCCCCAGTGAGCAGAGGCCCTCGACCCCCTCAGGGTTCAAGCACAACATTCCGGCTCCCTGAATGTCCCCAAAGGGCTGTCCTCTTGACCCTCCTCTAACTGTCTGGGGGACCAGAGCTTCCTTCCCCCCCGCCACAGCATTGGAAGCCACGCGCAGGAGTCTCAGTGCATGGGCCATTCCAACACCAGAGCTGCCAGAGAAGAAAAGCCTGAGGTGAAACGCAGACGAGCGAGTAAGGCCCCTGATCATGGAATTAGGGGAAAGGCACTCCCGGGGCTCAGGGCAGCTTCCCCAGCAAGCCTCTTCTGTAGGAAACGAGGAACTCAGGAAGGCCAAGTAGCCGGCGAGAAAGGCGCTAAAATCAGCTGGTGCTAGCTTCCAAACACGCGTGGTCACTGACACCGTGGTGGGCAGCTTCTGGGCAGGGCGGCTTCTCTAGAGCCCACCCTGATTGACCAGCACAGAGGCGTGAGCTTCTCACTCAGGGGGCAGAGAACAGCAGACAGCAGCCCGGGGTCAGAAGCACCCATCGACTTGAAGACACGGGAGGAAGTTGCCACAGGGCCTTGCTTTTCAGAAGCACATCACTCGCCACCCAGACTCGGAAGCCAGACGGTGGGAAGACATGGGAGCACTTACCTGGGGAAGATGGCGGTCATCAAGGCAGAAGCGTAGCCCGGCTTACAAGTTCCCTCTGAAAAGTTGGCATACTTGGTGGCTAGCTCGGCAGGCCTGTGGGGAGAGGAGGACAGTCACAGCTTGCTGGGCACTTAGCGGTCAGTAGGTCAGCGATGCAAAAGGGTCCGAGGTCTCTCGGCCTCTAGATACCTCCATCCCCTACCATCAGCGCTCTGGCTCCTTCTCTCATCAAGGTTTCCAGGGGACAAAAACAAGAAACAGCACAAAAGTCATCCAGGAATTAAGCCAGACGGGCAGCCCAGGCTACTCCATGGAACCTGGTGCAGGGGACTCCCGGGGCTCTATGGCGTCTTCGAAGGAAGCCAGCAAACAGGATGGAGAACAGAAAGACCTCCAGGCTGGAAAGGGAAGAGCCCGGGAAGTCTGGCAGGGCGGGCACTGCACGCCCAGCGTCTCTTCATGCATGGTCCTTCTCTGTCTCCTGTCTCCCACCTCTGCTTGGTGCCAGCCAGCAGAGCCCCTTGATGCCCTGAACTCAAGCCAAATGCATGCTGTGGTTCCTCACGTAACTTGGGACCTTTATATCAGGAGGTGCCCTCCTACTCGCCGTCCCTCCTCTCTACCTGCACCTGTCTATGCCTCGTGTCCCTCACAGCGAAGCTTCAATGAAGGCGTCACCTGGAGAAACCCCTGGCCCCCAGATTGGGTGGAAGGTCCCCTCTGCCTGCCCCGACAACACGGGTCTCATCACCACATGCCATGCTGTCCCGTGAGGACTGATAGTGTCTCCCTCCTGGCACTGGGGATTCTCACGGGAAGATGTGACGCAGCCCTGTCTCCCTGCTACCCTGCATAGATGGTGAGATCCTGGAATTGTCGAGGGCATGCAGGGGCGATGAGACTGCCTCAAAGCCCGGTCAGAGGGAGTGGAGTGTGCGTGTGCTCCCGCCCTGGCCTTGCAGTGAGACCTGGGCCCGGTCTCCTCAGCTCTTTCCATTTCAAGGTCTGGAGGTGTTCCGTGGGCGCTGGGGTCCCTCCCCCTGCAACCTTGACCCTGACATCTAGAGAAATCTGCCCCGAGACAGGGCTGGTTCAGCGACTACTGGGCTGGAGGCTCCAGGCCAGTCCCTGGTCCTCTCGGCCTGCAGCAGACACGGCTACCCGGTTACCCCGTGGTGCTGGGGCCTGTGGCTGTCTCCCTCCCAGCCGCCTCCTGCAGGACTGGGTGGGATGGGCAAGGAGGAGAGTAGCTGGCACCTGCACCGGTGGCAGAATGATGTCAACCGCCCAGCACACGGCATGCGATATTCACTCCCGGGTCCCGGTGGGCCTCGTCCAGCCTTTAAGAAGCCACTGCTCAGGGGACACAGATGCACCCACGTGACCCATGGGCATCTCCTTGAGCTTCCCTCCTGATGAAATTTAAAGCGGGGCATGCAAACATGAGGTCTGAGTGACATGGCAGCGCTGGGACTTCATTTGGCAGGCAAAATACCGACCAAGGTTTAACAAGAGAACTTCTGTAATGATATTCTGTTACGTAAACAACAGCACTTGGGAAGGGAACTCTAAACTTCAGGGCAATTACCGAGCTTCCTGGGAGTTTCTGGATCAGCATTCCTAGACTTTCCTACAGTGCTTTTAGGATTACCCCCACTCCTACCCCGCACTCTGTTCAGTACCCCTTTGAGTAGATCCTGCTAACAAATCAGACATGAGGCTAAGAGGTGACTTGTCCAAGGTCACTCAAGGTCAGTGGAGGCTGTGGGATGGAAGCAGGAAGCTCTGACACCTCACAGAGACACTAGCCCCAGCAAGGGCCTGGGGGCGTGTCATGGAGGGAAGGGGAGGCCAGGGCAGCATGGGGTGGGGTGGACGTGGAGTTGGATGCAGGAGAGAGGAGATGCAGGCAGGGAGGCAACTGAGGGCCTGGGCCCCTCCTCCCCTGCGCCCACCTTGTCCTGTGGGTTCTTGAGAGTCTCTGAACTCCAGCAAAGTTTCCTAGCAAAGAAAATGGCTGGATGGCCCCAGCCCTTCTAACAGCGCACGGTGAAAAAAACTCATGCACAGCAATACACGTGTCCTGGGCCGCATCTTGGCCTCCCAACTTCCCTCCATAAACTCCTGGGAAGGGGCTTTATCAATATGGCAGAGAGTCCTGGGGCCCTGGGCTCGGGGGAGAGGGAGCCCTGGTGAGCAGGAGCACGAGAAGTGGATGTGGCGGGGAGGGCTGTTCCCAAGGCGATGCTCCGTAGGGAGATGTGCTAGGGAGACGAGCGTGTGAGCGCAGGTTGCAGCAGGAGCGTCCGCAGCACCCAATCCTGGGCACAGTGGCCCAGTCAAGTGATTACCAAATTAAAATGCCTTAGACATGGCCTGTGACTGTCCCATGGAGAGAAGAATAAGGGGAGTGTTGGCGAGTCTGAGTCATACAGCAAGCAGGGACCTCTGGGGCAGCTGGTGGTCAAAGCCATCAAGATCCACAGTCGCCAACCCCCTCGGGCCAGAATAGCGAGTTTCTCCAAGGCACTGGCCCTGAAATGCCAGCAGGCCCCCCAGATGTCTGGTCAGATCACTCAGCCCTTGTTCTTCCCCTACTCTGCAGCTGGCCTTTCATTTGGAGAGACGTAGCATTTCAACTGGTCAGAGCACCCATTGTCCAGCGAACGTGACCACCGGGCCCTGCGGGTGAAGCCCATAACAAACCACCACGCTCTCCAGAGGGACTCCAGATGAACAACTGGAACCCTGGAGAGGAGGCCAGACTGGCTCGCGTCACTCTCCAGCACCGGGCAACAGGGCCGGGCTGGGCTGGGCAGGAGATGGGAAGCGTAGGAGAGCCGGGTAACATACCAAGAGAACACTGGCCGGCGGGCCACGGGAACTCTGACTTCCTGCCTGCGTGTGGGAACCACCCTGTTCCCAGAGATCTCGGGAGGATGTGGTGAGGCAGCACATTTGGAGGGGCTGGCTGTCCTCTAAAGCACCCCACAAGAGTTACGTGGGTGAGACAGTGGGAGCAGGCCACCAGCACATGGAGGCCTATCACGCGGGGGTAAATGCTACCACGCTGACAGGTGCCACAGGCTTCCCAGGGGCAGGGGCAGGACGGACACTTGAGAAGTGAGGAGAGCACTGAGCAGCCCAGGAGACAGACACAACCCCCGGGAACGTGCAGGGAGGAGGCCGTGGGGACGCCAGAACCCGGGCACCGCGGAGGTGGCACAGAGACGGCCCCTGGGGGCACACAGGGCAAAATGCTGATCTCACCGGATTTACAAGAAAAAGGAGAAGAGCTGGAGGAGTCACGGGATAATGACTATTTTTAGGATTTTGCTATAAAGGGAGCTAGAGAAATGGGGCAACGGCTTGCCGGAGGAAGCAGGGAAAGAGAAAGCTTTCTGAAGTAAGAGGTCTGCAAGCAAGTTTCGAAGCCGGGCGGATTAAAGTCCTGAGGCCCCAGAGAGGCCCAGTCAGAGGAGAAATGACCTTGAGGCGGCGAGAGGGAAGGGCTGGCAGAGGCTCGCTCACCTCGCCTGCACCGGCCAGCGACACCAACCTGTCCATCAAAGCACAACTTCCTCCTGCCTTATGCTACCGCTCACCTCCCAAGGAGGATCTCTGCACACTGTCCATGGAACCCCACCCAAGGCTGACGCCCCCACCCCTCTCATCACCTCCTTCCCCTCGCTCTCTGAGCCACTCTGCACGGCCTTGTCTGCTAGCTCAGTCCCACAAGCAGGGTGGCTCAGGGCATGCTCTATGCCTAAATTTTCCCTCGATTTTACTTATGTATATTTTGGGGCCACACCCTGTGATGCTCAGGGGTTACACCTAGCTCTGCACTCGGGGATCACTCCTAGTGGTATTAGGGGACCATATGGGGCACTGGGGATGACACCCGTGTTGGCCATGCGCAAGACAGACTACCTACCCACTGTACTATTACTCAAGCCTCCAGGTTTTCCCTTGAAACTGGGGTCCTGCCAGTACTTTACCAACCTGTTGGAGTGGATTAGGCTGAGAATAAAGTGCTTACTTAATAAATGTCTGGCCCCCAGTCTCCCTTGGTCTGGGCTGAGGGTACCAGTCCTCAGTGCCAAGCCCAGGCTTGGGAGGACAGGAGCAAGGAGTGGGACATTGTCTTGGCTGAGCAAGGTCCCACTGGAGAGTCACTGTGTCAGACACTGCAGGCTCACAATGGTAATGGGACTATTGTAAATCACGGGGCCTAAAAATTAAAAAAAAACTTTTTAAAAAGGAATAAATCTTTCTCTCTTGGACCATGAGCAACGAGGTGAGTGCAGTGTGTAGAATATGGTGCATGGTACGAGTATATACAGAGCTAACATAGTGTTTGCAGGTGACACTGCTCACCTTGGCAGGAAGTGCAGGGAGGACAGCCGAGGCAATTGGAGAAGGCAAGTTTATTTATAAAGAAATAAACTTTATAGATTATTTCTGAGGACTCTCAAGATCGGGCATCTTGTAACCAAGGGTCTAACCTCTAGAACCTTCTCAGAGGAAACTGCACTCAGATTAGCTCACCATAACGCCTTCCCTCGACTCCTTCCCTGTGCTACTTAATGAAGTGGAGTCTTGAATTTATGAGAATAAAATAGATGTGGCAACTCAGCGTGCTGCCCAATGAACAATCATTCCTCACTCTCAGTTTCCGGCAACTACAGCGACTTAATTCAAGTTGCTTTGGCACCACGTGCGGGCCACCTCTGGCGTCTCCTTCATTCTCTCCTCTCCTACCTTCCAAACAAAGACGCACGTCTCGCACCACGTGGAAGGGCTTTTTCCAGAAGATGCCACCATATGGAGAATGGCAGGGGCAATGTGTCAGCGTTAGCAATTCTACCCAGTCATTAAACACTTCCATCTTAATTGTTTTCTGAAAGCGCCTTTATGTAAGCAAGGTTACTTAACGCTGCCACAGAGTCTTTCCAGCACCAAGACGGAAACTTTTTCTCCTGGAGGGCGAGTCCTCTCTCCTCCGACTGCGCTCCCTCACACCCAACTCCTGCAGGCTGCTGCCTCTTCCTGCACAGCCACAAGCTACCTTCCCAGCCCGGCTACTGCGAACC